GTTGGTAATTTCTGTTGATATAAGGGAGTGTTTGCAACAATTTCTGCTTAAAAAAAAGCACTTTTGGGGTGATTTGGAAAAAGCGATTATTTGTAAAAGTTGATAGTGTTTGAGAAAAAAGTGATTTTGAAAAGTAAAAGTTGGTAGTGTTTGGTAAAATAAGTGCTTTTGGTGTATAAAAATGGGAAATGCACTTTTGACACGAAAGCCGAGAAAAGTAAAAAATTGGTAGTGTTTGGTAAATAAGTGCTTTTTAAAGCCAAAAGCTGAGAAATGCTTTTTTAAAGCGGTTGCAAACCAGCCCTAAATAAAACTCAATCAGCACATAAGAAAATGAAAAAATGTAATATATTTCAGTGTAACATCATGGCATGCAATGGTATGCATGTCTTGACTTTTGATGGTGTGACTCATTTAGTTGACTTTTCACCCTCAAATCTCCCCATTGCGGGAGGTCTTGAATTCAAACCCACCAATAGAAATGGGGATGTCTTGCTAGTAATGAATCCCTATCTTCACGGAGTAGTTCAACGACTTGGAAGGGAGTGTATGATAATGAATGTAGCGAGTTCGTGTAGCGCGATGACTAGTATGATAATGGTGATGTAAGTTATGCTGAATTCGTTTTTTTGGAGCCTAATATCAACGAAAGCTGATTGTGATCAAATTTGGATTTAACCTTGTAGTGTCTTAGTTCATATACTCCTGGATTATGTGAGCGCAAACATAAAAAAACGAGTCATTAAAAAGTGAACACCCTAGCCATCTTCAATTCAATTTTGGAAAGTGAAGCGAACCAAGTGGATCATGTCGCATACTTAAAATCCTCCCCATGTGGGAGGCCTTGTGTCTAAGTCATCAAGCATATGAAGTTGGGGGCTCTTATCAAATGATCTTTTAGCGCCATGACTAGCTTGAGTGTAGCTTGAATGGTGGTACAATTAGAAGTTCGTCTCGTCTGAAATTATTTAGAGTGAGAATTATCTTCATCCTAGGAATTTGGCGAGCTATAATCAACCAATGACTATTCAAAATGAATCTGAAAAAAGTCACCACTTGTAGACAATGGTGTGTATCAGGGGCGTAGCCAGGACACTGGGCTAGACTGGGCCGGTACAAGGAATATTATTGGAAAAAAAATTACACGAAATTTTTTACACTAAAAATATTGACATTTTTCAAATTTAGGGTGGGCCAGGGCCTAGCCTGGGCACCCCCTACCTCCGCCCCTGGTGTGTATATAAGCGTTAGGACCTAACAAATTGTTCCAGCACTTGGAATTTGCACCCAACAATGGTGTATGTACGTGTATACAAGTGTCAAAGGGATTGTGGTTATTTTTTTCGAAAGCACAATTAGCTGGACCAAGTTGGAAAGTTGGTGCTAAAAAAACAAAGAAAATGAATATCTACCGACTACCATGGGATAAATGGTAACACTAGGGGGTAGGGGTATAAAGCTAGAACGGCCCGATGAGACTTTTTCAGTTAGTACACACCACAATATATGAAAAAGGACATCATGAGGACCCCAACACCGATCAGACAGTTAGATGGGAGGATATAAGTTGAATTTTAATCACAAGCAGGAGATAGAGAGTGAGACTCTAGTCCTGGACACCATGAGGACCCCCAACACCGATCAGACAGTTAGATGAGAGGATATAAGTTGAATTTTAATCACAAGCAGGAGATAGAGAGTGAGACTCTAGTCCTGGAACTTGCAGAGGCTCTATGCATTTTTAGACTAGTAACCCCTCATAACAGTTGACGGGATCCGAATTGTGACACTCCTATCTACGCTACGCCCACGGGTCAAACCACAATATAAGAAGAATACATCTTGTCACGTCGTCAAAAAGAAGGGCGCGCGGCATCTTCAACTCTACGCCATAATTCCCCTTTTCTATTGGCCATCTTCGGACACTATCATTGCCAATTGCCATGCCCTTTTACTCTTTCCAACACACGCACGCCTTCCTTCATTTCTTCCACACCCCCATTAATTGTAAGTCTCCTCTCTATCGATCCTGGCCTCAACACAACAATAAGATCATGAAAACAGAGCATCATGGTTTCACCGCTCTAACAAGATCCAGCAGCTGCAAACAGAGCTCCGGGAAGATTGTGCCTTCCAGTTATTATTACCAGCGCTCCACTTCTCATGCTACCTCCGAGGACTTTTCCGATAGAACCCCGATCGGGAGCGGCGCCGCCGGTGGTGGAAGCTCTCCTGTTGACTTACGGCGGCTGGGCAAGATTACCCGGATAAACGGAGTCTCTGCTCTTCTCAGGTCGTTTTTGAATCTTATATCTTTCCCGGCTGCGTGCAGTTGGCTTCACTTGCCCACACGGATGTCGGTATCGGCGCCGCCTCTCGGGCGTAAAGTAGCCGGGACGCTGTTCGGGCATCGGAGAGGCCACGTCAGCTTCACCGTCCAGGACGACCCCCGCTCCGAGCCGGCCCTTGTGATCGAGCTGCCCGTTACGACGTCGGCGTTGGTGAAGGAGATGGCGTCCGGGCTTGTCCGGATCGCGCTCGAGTGCGAGAAAGCCGCGCCTTCTCCGACCGCTCGTCGCGGCGGAGGAGGGGGGCATGCAGTGAAGCTTTTCCAGGAGCCGGTGTGGACTATGTACTTGAACGGCAGGAAGTGCGGGTACGCGCAGTCGCGGCCGTGCACGGCGTCGGACTGGCACGTGCTGAGCACCGTGCAGAGCGTGTCTGTGGGGGCTGGGGTGATTCCGGTGGTGGAAGACGGCGGAAAAGGCGGCGGCGTAGCGGAGGGGGAGCTTCTGTACATGAGGGCACGGTTTGAGCGAGTTGTGGGGAGCCGAGACTCGGAAGCGTTTTACATGATGAACCCGGATGGCAACGGTGGGCCTGAACTCAGTATATTTCTTCTCAGGATATAATTAAATAATAAATCGTCAAATACTAAACTTAGGTAATAAGAACATTATCATAGATCTTTGTTGACAATTAATGACGACCACGAGTGTAGTTTTGGAAACATTAGCATACATATAGTATACGGGAGTATATATGGTTTTACTCCATACAAGGCTGTGACTGTGAGTCATTTTGATTTATACGTAGTCATTAATATAGTCTCAAGTCTTTTAATAGGTAGCTTAAGTCTTTCTTCATTTCAAATCCATTTTGGATGATGTCCCAATCATTTCAATGCACCATACAACCAGGCATTTTTTTAAGATTGGATGTTTAGAAGACCTCGACATTTCAATAAGTGTAATGGTAAATAGTTGTTCATCTCTACATTTTGGAACGAGATCTCTGAAATTAAATGAAATCACAACAAATAAGAAAGTTTTAGATTAACATTTTGAAATATGACATTTTCACGTAATGGCTAAATAGTTGAATTATCGAACACTTTGTGACAACCCACTAACTTATTCCACATGTCAAACCTGCCGACTGAATTTCCTATTGATGTTAATGATTGAGCTTAAATAGTGTTGAGGTTGTTTTGTTACCTTGTCAATATTTGAGGTCCGACCTTTCACTTCAATTGTTTGTTCAAATGATTTGATAATACTATGACTCAAACGTTATAGGTTCAAGTCTTGTGTGCCTTTGATGGACCAGAGATTTTATAGTTTAAACGATAAAATTAGACTATGTTGCACGAGCTGTCTGTGTACACAGACTATGTTGCACGAGATGTCTGTGTACATAGACAACTATGAGGTATATAAGTTGTCTGTGTAGACATACAATACATATAATTGTATGTTAAATGTATATAAATTTCGTGAATAAATAGAATTTTTCCTAGTCATTATTCCGGCTAAAGTTAGCAAAGCTTTGACCATAATTGATGAGTTCTTTTTTGGTGTACCCACTTTAGTACGCACTTTTGTACATTGCCTGTGTACACAGACAATTGAGAAATAAATGCTACATTCTCCTTAACGAACTGCATGTGTACAAAGACAAAATAGGGATTTTTTTAGGAAATGTGAATACAAAAATGAGTACAAAAGTTGGTATAAACAATTTTTTTGATAATTGATACGGATGGTTTGTTTGTTCTTTCAAATTTTACCTGCTCCGTAGTTATAAGTGGGGTCAACATTCTTGTCATCTCCCTTCACTAGATTCAGGAAGTCAACAAGTAACTTGCATCATGAGTAGTCTTCCGGTCAGGTATACCTGACAGGAGCCCCGTCCGTCCTCCTCCATTTGGGGGCCTTCCCGGTGGTATTTTTTGCTCAAATGTTTTGTGTAGGTTCCTCATCAAGTCTAGTTCATCCATACCAAATTTCAGCCAAAAATTCAATCGGGAAGGTCGTCAAATGATTTTTGCAAGTTAACTGGTCCGAAAAATACATATTCTGGACCAGTTAAATTGCAAAAATCATTTGACGACCTTCCCGATTGAATTTTTGGATGAAATTTGGTATGAATGAACTAGACTTGATGAGGAACCTACACAAAAAATTTGAGCAAAAAATACCACCGGGAAGGCCCCCAAATGGAGGAGGCCGGACGGGGGGAGTGGTCCGGCCGGCCTGGCCGGACCTGAACATTCGTGCTTGCACCATTATATTTAGAAACATATTTCTCGTTGTTAAGCTTTTCTTAATTTCTTCGATTCTGTAACTTCATTAACTCAGTGCGTACTCAGTTAGCTATGGAACCTGCACCAAATGCCTACTCGATCCCACAATTTTAGAATTGATCAAAGCTCGATTAGCCCATTTAAGAGGAGTTATGGACAGTTGGACACTATCTAAAACAACTTGATAATCATTATACATAATGTGAAAATTTGATAAAAAACACAAGATTAGGAATATGGTCAAATAAATCTTTCTACTATTTTCACTGTATCATACAAACTCATGTACTACAAAATTACAGTAGGCTTACTCTAAAAAATGATGAAAAATGCTATTGGTACCCCAAAAATTATCCCATCTTTACCCCATATAAATACTCCCCCACTTTTCTCCTCCCCTTCCTCCTCCCTCCCCCACTTTTCTTCCCCCCTCCCCCTCTCCCCTGGTTCTTCGTTCCTTTCACACAGCCCATCCCTTCCCTTTTCTCTTTTACTTTTCTCCATTTCAAGATCTCTCCATTTCTTAAATGTTTCTCATTTTTACCATCTTTTCCTCCTTCAACCTTCTTCTCCTACTTCTCTCGTCTTCCGCCTTTTTTTTCCGTTTCAAATGGCGGACCTACAGTAATCGGACAAATGGGGAGAGCTAGGTGAACAAGAAGGAACAACGAAAGGTGTAGACCAAGAAGTTTAGAGCAGATCTTATTTTCTTGATTTTTTGTTCTTGATTTTGTTTTCTTGTTTTTTTGGGTGTGTTTTCAAAATAAAAAGGGATGTTTGTCTGACAGACAACTTGTAAGTGCAGTGTCTGTATTTGTTAGTAAGACTCGTGAAGTTGTCTGTCATTTGAAAACTAAATGTCTGTAATTGATATGTAATTGTCTGTCATTTGCTTGTAAGTTGTCTGTATTTTTTGAGTTGTCTGTCATGTTGTTGTGAAGAGTCTGTAAGAGTCGTGAAGTTGTCTGTCTGTCTGTAATTGATGGTTAATTGTTTGTCAGTTGTTTTGAGTTGTCTGTATTTATTTTTGAGTTGTCTGTATTTGTTTTGATTTGTCTGTATTTGATTGTGAACTGTATCTAATTACTTTATTTAATTGAGATGTAATTAGTCTAACGAGACAGACATTAAATATACACATACAAACATTATTTTATTGTGAATTACCATATTGGCATATGTTTCATAAAAAGACAGACAATACGTATTCCTAGACAAACAATAGAGATAACCAGACAGACATTAATTTTCACCACAAATTTTATACAACTCAAAATGAAATGACAAACAACTAAATATCAATTACAGACAACTTCACGACTCTTACAGACAAATACAAATACAAACTACTAATAAACAAATGACAAACAATTAAATATCAATTACAGACATTATTTTTCAAATGACAGACAACTTCAAGACTCTTACAGACACTGCACTTACAAGTTGTCTGTCAGACAGACAACATTTTTTATTTCGAAAATACATCAAAAATCAAGAAAACAAAATCCAGAAAAGAAGATTTGCTACTCAAGTTATTCAAAACTTCTTGATTTGCCTTCATTGTTGTCTTCCCTTGAGGTTGCATCCGAAATGGCAACCGGAGTAGGCCGGCCGTCGGCAACCGGCGTAGGGCCTCCGTCGGCAACGTCACCGGTGGAAGAGGAGATAAGCAGGAGAAGATCGAAGGTTGGATGGGGGAAAGATGGTAAAAATTGGAAGTCTTAAAGAAGGAGAAAGATACTGAAATGGAGAAGGTTTTCAAAAAAAATTGAAATGGAGAAGAAAGGGGAAGAGAGGGGGTGCGTGAAAAAGAGGAGGGGAGGGAGGAAGAGAGGTGGGGTGCAGGAGAGAGGGAGGGAGGGGAGAGAAAAAGTGGGGGAGGGTGGAAAGAGAGAAGGAAAGTGGAGGAGGGTTTTTATATGGGGTAAAAAATGGGGTAGATTTGAGGTACTTGTAGCAAAATTGAAAAATGATCGATCAATGTTTACGTCCATGTAATCAGTTTTTCACCTCTAGTAACACGTTTCCTTATATTCTCTTTAAGAACTTTTCTGTTTCTAATTTCGAAAGCTTAACATATAAAATGCTGAAACATTTCGATGAAAAATACTACGTAATAAGCATCTTTTCACTTTCTATTCTATTGTCAAATTGCACGATGTATTTGAAAAAATGTTGAAAATTTGATCTCGTCTTTTATTATACGTACAATTTTTTGGAACTTTCAATTCTATGAACTCTCAATATAAAAACATTTCAACTAATAGAAGACATCGTAAAAATTTTAAAAGATTTAACATGGTTTTAGTCCCTAATCCCTATGTATAGTGTCTTCTTTGTTCTACAATGTTTTTATATTTTAAGTACTCGTAATACATTTTAATCTTCTCAATTTACTTTTGACCTTTAAATTAAACCATTTTTGTTTGACAACAAAATAGCATCAATAACGTGATTTTTGTCTTTCTTCGGGCCATTTCAATTTTAAATTGATACTTCAATTTTATTTTTAGGCAGTCTTTGAGATATGATTTACATTAAAAAATGTGAATGATTAGTTCCATTCAAACTTACCTGTAATTAATCAGTCTTAAAATGGAAAAAATGGTGTGAATATTACTGCTACACTTTGCAAGTCTCAATTATGTCCCAATGATTCAAGATGTTTTGGATTCTTCTTGTTGATATCTACGACTACTTAACAGACACCAATTCAACTCCAAATTCCTAGTACAATATAAGGTATGAAGCTTACAAACAATCTTTCGAAAGGACAAATCTTTCTAAAACAATCTTTGGAAAACAAACTGGTTTACTTATTTGATTGTAACTCTCAATACGATGGTTCAAATCCGATGATTCAAGCATAGTTATATTCGTCTCGTTGTGATCTACAACTCTTCAAAAGACATCAACTCCAAATTCCGAACACAATAGAAGATGGAGATCTTACGAACAACCTTTCGAAAATGAACAATCTTTCGAAAATGAATGGTTTTACTGATTTAGTCATAACATTCGATTGGCTACACCAAATCGGGTGGTTCTAGAAATTGGAAAATCAATCGTGCCTTTAATTGATCAAATGGGTTACGTAAATACAAGTGTATCACTATGAGTTTAGATAAAACTATACTACATAAATATGCTAACCAACTATCTAAGTGATATACATGAGTCACCTGGGTATTATCAACATAATAATTAAATACTAAAGAAATAATACTAGTAACAATAATCAAACGTGCAGCTCCTTGTTCCGTAATACCCGTATTACGTCCTTGTACATGCAGGCGTTATTAAGCCCCCACAGTTGAAGCGGGCGGTGGTTGGACGCTGAGACTGGACCGGAAATCTTGGAAGAGAACTCGGGGAAGCCCTTTTGCGAATATATCGGCAAACTGATGTCGCGATGGAACATGTAAAACCCGGATGTCCCCACAAGCAACCTTTTCCCGGACAAAATGGATATCAATTTCAATATGTTTAGTTCGTTGATGTTGAACCGGGTTTCCGGACATATACACGGCGCTGACGTTGTCACAATAAACAATGGATGCTTTGTGAAGTGGAGAGTGTAGTTCGAGGAGAAGGTTTCGTAAACAACAAGTTTCGGCAACTACATACCCGACCGAGTATGTCTAGAAAAGTGATTTTCCAGGAAACTGCCTAAAATACCCGATCGGGTACCCTGTATACCCGATCGGGTACACAACCCTGCCACCTCCAAACACCATATACACCCTTTTTCCTTCACTATATGAAGTAGGATTGCTTCAATAATGTGGTAAACTTAAATTTAAAATTATGGAAATTTGATTCAATATTGAAGAATATGAAATATGAATGATTCATTAAGTTCCAAAATGTCTAAGAAGTTCATGAAAAAACAAGAGCTAACTGCTCTGCTTATGTGTTTAATTATTTTGGCTAAAAAACTAATTTTAGGCTCACAAGGAATTGCGATATAAAAAGAAGAATACATTGAGTGAGTGGATGTATAACAAAAAATAGATTTTTGTTCTTAGAGTGGCATAGGTAAACACTCCGTATGTTTTTTCATTCCTTCAAATGCAACTTTTTTTGTTATATATAGTATGTTTTCTTTTTGTTCTGTCATTTTCTTTTTTAGTTCATCCATGTCAATTTCTGTTTACAAAAAAGGAGTATATAGATTGATGCTGCTCAAAAGAACTACAGTCTTGGTTTTCCATGGCATTTTTTATATGCTTAATTTTTTCATGGGCAGACTCTTTTCGTTGTCTTCTGTCATTTTCCCTAGATTAATCATTATTTTTAATGGACTATGAAAGCCGAATGTCACAGGATGACATAGAAACTTCTCCTGGAAAAACTACCCGACTCTCCTTTAACAAATGATATGCTAGGGAACTATCCAGTTGTGTATATATTCATACAACTTACTCTTATTTAGTATACACTCTTTTACTGCATGTCTCTAACTTCTTCAATTTAAATGTGTATTTTTGGGTGTCTTTGTACTAAAAGTTCTTAAGTGCAGAATCTATCACTTATTTGTATTTAGTAGACATCCTTTTACTGCAGGTCTCTAGCTTCTCCCATTTAAATGTGTATTTTTTGGTTTATTTGTAGTAAAAGTTTATAAGTGCCGAATCAGTAAATATATGGGCTTCCCCCATTTCTATAATTCTATATGTATAATGTATTTAGTCTTGACTGATTTTATTCCTAACAAACTTCTATTCTCAATCAGTAAATATATAGGTTTCCTTTTTCCTATAAAATAAAATTGGATACGTTGCTGCTCAAGTGTTCCTAACTTTGTTCTCTTTTTATACGTTGTCAATTTCAAAATTTTCTTTCCTAATCTACTTTCTTTCTATTTTCTGCAGTTTTTCCTTGAATTCTTTACACCTCTGACTAGGTGAATTTGATATGTTTTTTCTTACTGCTTACGTTAGCCGACGTCCCAACCATGGTTGATGACAAAAACGACGTGAAAAGGTCAGAAAGGAGAAGGACCGTGTTTTTTTTTGGGGGGGGGGATTTGTGAAAGTCGGGCCGATCGGGGATCTTCATTCAAGCGACGAAAGGTTTCAGCTCGAGCCAAGCTTCCAGATCCACTCCCTTATGCATCAAGATTGTGTCCCCTCCTAAGAATCCTAAGATAACTTTTTATATCAATAACTTTGGAAAGTTGGTCATGCTCCCTAAAGTCTTGAAAATTCCATGTATGTGAGACTTTGAATATTTAGTTCCACCTTACTATTACTATTCCTTCATGGATGCTAATTTAAGTTTTAACCTGTTGAAAGAAACTGTTGTGAGCTAAAGGTTCTACAACCACATATACTCAAATTAAGTAAAATATGTAAATAAGCACTAATGACAGTCATGGTGCCAGTGGCGTATCCAGGATTTTTGGTGAGTGGGGGGCAAACTTGCACTACAATTTAGTCTCATATTTCATGTATAGCAAATCACATTATTAATATTGTTTGATTAAATTTAGTTTAAGATATATATATATATGTACAAGTATGAATAAAAAGAAAATTATTTTATATTACAGGTGTGTAAAGATGCAATTGCGGATAAAATTTGAGAAAATTACCTAAATATTGGTTAAACATAACAAAATTTAGTGAATTTTTTAGCCTTTCATTCTATTAATATGAAAGAAAACACTCTTAATCCCATTTTAGAATTTTTTTCCTACATTTAACTCTTATTTTAAGCAATTTTTATAAAATTTTAGGTATATATATAGGGGTTGGGTTGAGGTTGAGTGGGGGCAGCTGCCCCATAATGGATACGCCACTACATGGTGCTATTTATCCTTCAAATAGTGGTTTGTTCTTTGTTGCCTCAAGTGATATTTGAAAAAAGAAAGTTTATTATGAGATTACTCCTACATTTATGGTTAATTTCATGATTTTTTTTATTTTGAACGATAATTAAATATTTTAATATGTAATCTGAAGTTTTAAAAAACGGAAGGAAGAAAAGTAAACGTGAATCCATCAAAAAAAAAAAACTTAACGTGAAAGAAGAATAAAGGCCACCTATGAGTTACTTGATTGAACAAGTTAGTAGAAGTCATGAAGTCTAAGCCTAATTGATCAAATTTCATGACTTAATGCCTTGATTTTTTTATGACATCAACACCAAAGAATAAAAGTTACTGCAAGTATATAGGGCATCCATGTAGGGTAAAGTAAAACCTATCTCTCGGTATGTTATGCTTTCTACCAGGTAGCAATGTTATATTTGCTTTGACCAATCATCAGTGAATGATGATATTAGATTCAATTAATTTTAATTTTTATGTGATTACCCAAATTTTAACATATTAAGAGCCTGTTTGATAGCATGAATGACTTGAATTGGTTGAACTTGCTAAAATTACCCTCATATTTTGAATGAAGCGGATGAATTCGCTCAATCTGATTAATTGTGTAAAATGATACTTAAAATATATTTTAATGATCAAATAAAGAAAAATTAATATGAAAATTGCTAAAATGACTATCTACAGTTACTTTGGTCACTTCAACTAGAAAAGTAACTTCAATCCGACTTAATTTGATAACTACACAATTCAATGTGTGAGATTAAAAGTTACGATTTGATAAACAGCTAGCTAATAAGTTGAAAATAAGGGTTACCAATAGGGTAATATATTTCATGATTTTGAATTTAGGATATCACAAATAATAAAAATTATATTAGGGACACAACTCACAAGTTTCAAGATGTAGGGATATTTTCCTTCATTGTTATTTAAATTTCAGAAAAAAGATTAAATTTAAATATTTATTCATTGTTTTTGTTTCTATTTGTTTCATCGTGTAGCTTTTTGTTGCATCGCGTGTGTTGTTTTTTGTTATATCG